TTTAATACACCCTTTATGGGAAATTATTGCAAAAACATTTAAGATACTTGTCAAAATTTTTATGAATGGGCATCTTTCTACCTTATGGATGTAGCTGCCATTTGAAACAGCTTTAGAGCAGAAGACTTATCAGCCTCCTATCTGAGCTCACTTACACAGATACCACAACAGCTTTACGCATTAGTAATATCATGTGTTATATCAAGAAATGGTTTTGTTTTACAGGCATTTTACAGGCACCTTGATTTTTGGTTTGGTTTCTTTTTCCAGTGCAAGAGATCTAGACAGTTTATATTTGATAGGCTGTTCATAAATTATACCCTACTGCTGTTTGCAGGTTGGAACTTCTTCCCACACAGATTTCATTTTATCATCAGACTGTTTAATTCTGCACTTATAAAAATGTCATCCTAGTCATAAGGAAAGAATTAGACAGCACTGTCTTAAAGTTTTCTGCACAAACTGTGACAAGATGCAGATACTGTAATATTAATATGCCAGAAGAGCGTATAAATTGCAGGATCAGGCCAAAATACATACCCCATTAAAGCTATGTCTTGCTGTTTTTCAAAGTGCAATGAAATAATGAAGTAATATAAATTAGTAATATATTAACTGTATTACAGTATTCGCACTGCTACCTCTTGATATCATAGCCCTGAATATATTAACACACTGATAATATCACAAGAGTACACTAAAAATTATTTCTGAGCAAAAGCAGTATCACTCTCTATATTATCTCCCAAAATAAAATTCTGACAGTATGGAAGTTATCAGGAGATTCTAACCCTTCTGCATGTTGAGCTTTCCACAGTCTTTCTAAAAGACACCGAATTTCCCCTTAGGACACACTTATAATCAAGTTCTGTGAGAATATATCACGGATTTTTCCAGATATTTTATCCAGCATGCTGAATTATATATGAAAAATATCCCTATATGGAGTCAGGGGAAGACAATTTAATCACATACAGTATTGGAATACTGACATATGTTATTGTATTTTAATTTGTATGATAATTTGTAAGTTAAATAGGTTAAACTCATGTCACTAGTAGTTTATGGCATTATTGCTGATGTATAAAATACTCTGTTCTATGTAGAAGATGAAAAAATGTATATTTAAAATGTATATAGAGTACTAATGAGCTAAACAGATGGAATTGTGTTTTTAACTTCACTGGAAAGTACTGGAATAAAGTAACTAACAGCATTTGTGTAAATGAAAATAAATCTCATGAAAACCTGAATGGATTTTCTTTTGTTAGACAGAAATGTGTGCTTGGCATATAGCTATATATTATAGCCCGTGGCTGTGTTTTGCTGACATGGTCTGTCAATAGCTATGTCTCAGCTGTTAAAAAGCAGTAAGTTAAATGTTTAAACTCAGTATTAGTTCAAGAGTTTCTGCATAGATTCCAATACACAGAAGTGAAAAAAGAAAAGAAAATATTTGATGAATCTCAGTACTCCAAGAAATACTATTTTCCCAAAAGTATTTCTGTCAAAAATCCAAACAAATTAAAGTGCAAGTTAATCACAGTGCTGATTCTTCACATAGCCCTGCAACCTGATAGAAGCAGACACCCATGTCTGCTTACATCCGTGAAGACTTTGCAGGACTTCATTTGTCTTTAAACACTCAGTTATGCAGATCAGACTGCAGGCTGAAGGCCTGAATCTATTTCATCATAAATGATGCTGGTTTGAAAGGCAGCTATCATTAAAATGCCAGGCAAAGGCACAGAAAGTACTTATCTTAAATAAAACATACCTATTTCTCTGTTAGATACACTTAAGAGTCTTCAAAGTAAAAAATATTTCCAATGGCATTTACTTTCATTCCTTGCCCCATTCATTTAATATACATGACATTGTTAAATTTGGACAAGAAAGTTGAACGCTTCGGTTTCCTGTTTAAGGTAACACCTGTATGTTTATTTATCAAAGACGTTATACCAACATTACTATTTCTTAACTTTTGTTACTTCACACAGAAAAAATATATATTAGAGCCAAAATTAAATCACACTTAATCCCAAATTATGCTAAACACTTAAAGTGGTTTTGATAGATTAAGGCCAACTCCATCAAGGTGCTCCACACAGACAGGTCTCCATTTGTAATATTCACAATGGGACAATAGCCCACATAGCAGCCTTCACCAGAGGAAGACTCTACAAAGATTCCAGTCACAAAAAACATCACAAATCTCTAGCAGCAGATACAGAAGATAATCTCACTCTGCTTTTCCCCAAAAAGCTAGAATACAACAAATCCTTCCTCCCCATTAGTAAATTTTAAAATGTTTTACCTAAATCCATACACTAACAACTGATACACTGAACTTCACTATTTGACAGCTTACGTTATTGGACCGGTGGTGCAAAGAACCCATCTAAAAGTGAGCTAAACTCTTTTAGAGGTACTGTCACCATACTTCACTACAGTAATAACTTCTTAGTATTCTCATAGCTCAGCTCTAACATTACTGGTATGCAGAAGTTCTCAGCTGGAAGAACTTCCAACCTCAATGGTGTTACAATGCCAACTCTCTCTAGAATATAAGTACCTCCACGGAGCTTTAAATTCTCATACAAATAAACCTGTATACACCAAACTGAGAGGAAAAATCATCTTTTGAGAAACTACATAATAATATTACAGAAGTATGTGTTCCTACAGGTGAATAACGTGCAATATAACTTTTCACATTCTGAGTAATTTTTCTTCCAATTTTTTTTAACTGTTGTGGTTCTTCAAGTAGCTCTTACCTACTTATGATCTGATTTCATAATCTATTATATTAGGGATTTTCCATAAGCAGAGTATGTTTGCAATGCAGTAGAAATTAAACACATATGGACAAGAAGGACAATAACAGAAACATAGATTACATATACATCTGTTCTCTCAGGCCTTAGCCTGAGGACTGAAGACAGAAAAAGTACATGTGCACATGACAGCCTAAATGCAAGAGGTCAGCCTCGTCTTTTTTAGCTTTATTCAGTTATATGAGCTCACTGACTAACTAGATGTATATTTAGGGAAGAGGGGCAGAGGGGCATGCAGACATCCAGGAACAACTACAAAGAAAATACTTTTGGAAGCTGAATACACATGTACATTCAGCTGAGTATTCATCAAGAAAGGCCATGACAACAGTTTTCAGGAAATTGTGCAACTGAAAAATTAATTTTGTAGAGTTTTCCTTAATTACTGCAACAAGAGCAGGGTTTGCTTGCCTCTCCTACAAATCTGTCTGTATCCTGCATCAGGGGTCTGCAGATCCCATGAGATCCACAGGAAAGCAGGCCTCACGTGCTCTAATGCTTCCCAGCACAGCGAAAACTTCTGCAGTTGACAGCTGTCATCGGACACATGCACAAATCCCAAACACTGGAAGCCAGACACAAAAACTAGCACTGCCTGCAGGTATGCAAACTCTTTACACAGCAGGAGAGATTTTAAGTCTAGATCGGGCCATTGGTTTATCTAGTCTGATTCTGAGTACAGTATAAAAACACCTGCAAAAATTGATACAGATTAGCACTACTTTTCCACTTCTTTCCTTCACAAGGCACACTTCACCAAACTCATGGAAAACAACTGCAAAATTTGTACCACTTATAAGGATGAAATCTGATATGGGTGCTCCAAAATGTTTAAGCATGACAGGCCCAGGTATATATTCCTAGCAAGCTTATAAAGTATTACTGAAATCTGTGAATAAGTATGGCAAAGAAACAAAGCAACTGCGATCCTATTCAAGAGAAAACCCATAGTCCTCTGCCATTTATCTTGTACCAATGGCAAAGACACTGCTCATCAGAAATAAGACATCTCTCCCACCTGAAACTTCCTGGACCAGAACGTCACATGTATAAGAAGAGACAGGTCATGCTCCAGGTAGACTTTCAAAGCAAGACTAAAGCTGTGATCACTGGATTCCACATATCTACTTTTTTTTTTTCCTCATTCTGCAAAAGCCCTCACAGTTGCTCTGAACAGTTTATGAAAACAAAGTGATCAGAGAGACGATTTACATTTGCAACATAAACGTCTTCCCTTTTCATGAGCCAGCTTAATACAGACATTGCTGCACTCATCCCAGCTGAGGTTTGGCAGGAATTGGAGGAGGAAAGACGATGAAGAGCAGAAGTGTTTAAAGCTCAACTAACTTCTCAACTCCTACCGGTCTCCCCTGTCCTCCGGACCACTTCCAGCCTAGCACTTGTTAGCAGCTCCTGATGCTGGAGAGAGGTCCCTTGCAAAAGCTTTCTCTGAGCAGCTGAGAGGAGACTTGGGGAAGGTTATTCAAAAAAAAAATAAAATTAAATGACATAAATTTTCCCAAGTCGGCACACTTCATCTATCTTACACCAGGAACAATGGAGACGCGGGCAGCGGGAGGATACGGCCGCCCGGGAGGACGGGGGCCGGGGGGACGTGCTGCCTGCCCGCCTGTCCGTCCGTCCGTCCGCAGCTCTCCCGACTCTTTGTCTGTCCGTCTGTCAGACGGCCCCGCTGGCAGCGCCGGCCCCATCTCCGCTTCCCCGCCGAGGCCTGCTTGGCCCCGCGGCTCCCGGCCCGCCGCGCCGGGGGCCGGCTCCGCTGGGGAAGCCCCGCCACGGGCCGGGAGGGGGGGTGGGGGGCGGAAGACAGCTCCCGGCGCCCCCCCCGCCCCGCGCTGCGGGGGGCGAAGGAGGCCGCCCGCCGCTTTTCTCCTCATCCCCCGCTCGCCGGCCTCTCCGGCGGCGGGGCCAAGCGCGGCCCATGCGGGCGGGACGCGCCGGGCCGGGCCGCACCGAGCCGAGCCGCGGCCCCCCCCTTCCTTCTTCCCTTCCCTCTCCTCCTCCTCCTCCTTCCTTCCCTCCCTCCCTCCCTCCCTCCCTCTCTCCCTTCCTCCCTCCCTCCGCGCACCTCCCGCCGCGGCGGGCGGGCGGGCGGGCCCGGCCGGACCCGGCCACCTCCCGCTCCCGCCCGCCGGTACTTACCGGCCGCAGAGCTGCGAAGAGAAGGCGGGCCGTGCCGGGGCGCGGCGGCGGCGGCTCAGAGTGCCCGTGCCGCGGCCCCGGGCATGGCGGGGCGCGGGGGAGGGGAGGCAGCGGCGGCGGCGGGGGAGGGGAGGCCGAGGCCGGGGGGAAGTTGGCGGCGGCGGCGGCTCCTTCCTGCTCCGGCGGGGCGAGCGGCGCCTTCCCTCAGCCTCCTCCTGGCGGTGACAGCGACAGCCCGGCCAGAGCGCCGCCGCGCCGCGGTGCAGCATGGGAAGCGCGCTCGGAGGACCGGCGGGCGCCCGGGCGCGGCGGAGCAGCGGAGCGAGGAGGAGGAGGAAGAGGAGGAAGAAGAAGAAGAAGAGAAGAGAGGAGAGGGGAGCGGAGCGGAGCCGGGCAGCGCCGCGCCAGGCCGGGCCGGGCCCTCCCGCTGGGGCCGGGGCGGGCGGTGCCGGCGGGCAGGGTTATGCGCGGGTCAGGAGGCTGGCGCGGCCGTGGGAAGCCCCGGAGGGGACGGGAAAGGCCCTTTGGGCCTCGGGTGAGGGGATGGGGGTGCTCCCTCCACCCCTCCGGGGTTGTTCCAGCGGCTTCATCTCCGGGGGGAGAAGGGGGGGTTCCTTGAGGGGAGGCGCGGCCACGGTGGTTGCTGGGGAGGAGGGGGCTGAAGTGAGCCCCGAGCCCCCCGCCTCGCTCGCGGGTGGGGCCGGGCCCTTCTGAGGCAGCGTGTGGGGTGGGCCGGGGCGGGAGGCCCCGCGGCACCCGGTGCGCTCACGGAGGTAGTGGCCGTGCAACTACCGGGGCCTCCCAACCCCTCGAGAAGGCCCGAGGATGGGTTTTCAGTGCTGTAACCTCGGCGATCGTGGTGTCCTCCGTGACCCCACGCAGTAAACAATTTGGAGAATCGCTAGAGGCCAAAGCTTCTTCAAGCCCGCGCCTTCCTTGGAGTAGCTCTCCGCCCAAACTGTCTGCGCCTTCACAACTTTGACTGTGTCTCAGCTTCTCGTGCATTTCTCAACTTCATCTCTTGTAGGGGTTACCAACTTTTCCACGTTTCTCTAAATAAAGTCCAGCAACGCACTTAAACACGTGTTTAACTAAATTGCTTTATGTCACTTGCTTATAATTAAGCATGTGCTTAAGTGCTCTGCTGGATTGAAGCCAAAATCTGCATCAGCTCTACTGGGTAAAATTCACCAGCTTCATCGGGTTTAGCTTTGTGAGTCATTCAATCAGCAGCAGCCCAAAGCGTTTTGCTACAAGCTTAGTTATTCCCAGGTTGTCCTACAGGATCACCCTGTCTCTGCGACGAGGCTTATGCCCTTCGTTCAGGTCCTGTTAGAAGTAAGATGCATCTGCCTGGTGAGTCAGCTTTATGTAGGGTTTCTAGTTCCTTTAACAAGATGCATTAATAAGGTGCATCCTTACACAGGTCATAGATTGTGCCATCCAGTTACAGTAATAAATTACATTAAGAAGAAAATATTAATGACATTAGGACCCAGTTTGAAGGTCTACCCTGGCTTAATGCAATACGTATATTTCAAAATAATTGCGTTGAGTACTCAAACTGTATGAACAGAGGAAGGAGTTAATAAAATGTGGCTACATTTCATGCACAATTTTACATAAATACAAGAAGTGTCATTAACCTGCCTGCTGAATGAAATGGGAAACTTTTCAGTTTCTGAAAATAGAGTTTTAGAAACTGAGGGAAGATGCACATTTATGCAGCTTTGATTTTTTTTTTTTTCCTTCAAAGACAATTAATTTGGTGACTATTCATTTTTACCTGTCAAAAAATCTTTTGAATTTCATTAAATCTGAGTCAGGAAGCTCAGCACTAAAACCTTATTTTAAAATACACTGAGGAATTAAAGCTTTCTGCAGGGTGAGCACAAGTCTTTCTCCAAGGACACATCAATTGGAACCTGCTTTTCAAAAAATTTTGTTTGGCAATTAACAGGGTAATATGAAGAAGAAAGACTGTCTTGTGTTTAGTGCAAAGAAGTAAGACTCAGCATATTTGGGTTCTGTTCCTTACTCTCCTACCATTCTTCTATAACCTTAATGAAGACATGCTCCAATTTTCAAATGTCAGTTTGGGTTAGAGTGGGTTTTTTTGTTTTTTAAGAGGAACTGAGCACCTACAAATTGTCAAATTCAGTGAGAATCTTACAGTGCTTTGTTCATCTGGAAGCAGCCCCCACCGAAGCAGGGGTAGCCAAGAGACGCATGGCTACCTTGGACATTCTCCTCTTTGCTACCTGTATTTTCAAATTATGGTAGTTTCTCACCAAGTCACACAGCTATGGCGGTGACGTTTGTATTAGTGTTCTGACACATTTAATACTGTAGTGTTTATTTATTAATATTAGTGTTTTGACATAACTAAATAGAAAAGGAATATATAAAGTCAGTAGCTTGAGGAGTTTAAAGGAGCGCTTGCATTTTGACCTATTTTTTTTTTTCTTATCCTGCTGTGTAAATAGCAGAGAAACTCTGCTTTTCCCTAGGGAAATATTTAACAATCTTTAATATAGCCTTCCCTCTCCCTCCTAAATTCCAGAAGTTGCCCACCCATGAGAAACCCTCTAGAAGGCAATGCGTGTGCAGCTTGGAACACAGTATGTTTCAGTTTCCTTTCTTTAGGAGGTGTAAATAGTGAAAAGTAAAAGGCACTTTTTTCCACTTTTTTTTTTTTTTTTTCTTCCCTTTATAAATCTAGAAACAAAAATAGGAAGCACACATAGGCTATATATTAAAACGAGTGGTTTGGGGGAATTGTTGGAGAACATATGTGTGTTTTGAAAAGGTCTTAAACAGGAAGTGGCTTCAGAGGTAACTGTGTAGAACAAGCAGAACTGTCTCATTTGACCTCCTGCATGACACACTGAAGGATTTCATTCAGAAGTTTGTGCATCAAGCCAGTAACCTCTAGTGAAGCAGCAGCTGATCTGGAAAGATCCAGTCTGGGAATTTGAGAGAAATCCACCGGTTAGGTCGGTTTTCAAGATGGCCACTTAGCCTAACTCTTAAAGTTATGCTTTCATATTTGTCTATATTAATCTAGCCTGAGCTTCTAATCATTAGTTTTAGCTAGTGGGTTTAAGGACAGTGTATCAGAATTTTTAACTCTTATTTTCCAGGTCTTGCTTTATCCTTGTAACTCTCTTTAAATCCCAGTTTTTTAAAAAGTATTTTTTTGTTTGTTTGAAAATATTGTTAGCATGAGCCAACTGCTCAGTCATTTAGCCCACAAACAAGTAAATCAACAAACATAAAGTGTAGCTTCCCCCTCACCCCCCCATTCCATATATGCACATAACCTTTTATCTATGCCTTTGGAGTGATGTGTGAAGTCTAGTGATGTGACTTGTCCTGACTCTGCCCTGGATGAAGTTTCCTTCCTGCTTTTCTGCTTTTGCTGATATATAAAAGGGTACAATATGTCTGTCTTCTCCCCTCCCCTGTGCAGATGTCGCAACTCACAGTTCATAGTCTCATTCCTCCAAACACAATTAGCTTTTTTACTCTAGTAAAAAAAAAAAATCTGTTGAACTATTTCTGTCTGTATGTGTCTACAGAATCAGCCCAAAGGAAATGTGAAAAGCAGTTTGCATATCAACAATCAATAATTTTACTGAGTATTTTATAACCATGCTAAGTCTCAAAAGAAAGACTTAAGATTAAGAGTTCATGTCAGTAGTTTATATATGGAGAACACTGCCTGAAAAATCTTTATGTTTTTCAGAAAAAGGTATTTGCAAACAGAAAGTTCAAGACCAAGGTAAATCCAAGAGAAATCAAGGAGTGTTAGAGTGCGGAAATACACAATTGATCTTCCCAAACAATGCTAAACCAGGCTTTTCTGTGCTTGTGGAATCATCAAACAATTGAAGTTAATAACTTGGGTGGAGGATGAAAGTTGACTTTCAGAGATAACATATGTATTCTCCCCCACCCACATGAGTTACTCTTTTAATATGAAAGTTTAAGCTTTAGTGTCTGTCTGTCTCACCAGTCTACAGGCTGGGCATGACCTGCAATTTTGCCTGGAAACCCTTTGACAAAAATGAGTACCAAATCATAACTGCATAAAAGAATGGGAGTCATCGTTAGGACTAAACCCAGGATGGAGAGCAAGAAGTAAATATAAACTGGTTTATTGCAAATGGCTTGTTGCCGCAGAAGTGGAGATAAACACAGGTTAGTCCTCTTCAAAGATTTATCTCATTCACTGTTCAGCAGAGCCATGCATGTGTCTTAACTTCAAAAAATGCAAATATCCCACTGAATTAAATGGAGCTATTGGATACTGAATCAGAAAACTAAATGCTGCGTTCAGTTTCTCTCCTTCCCTCCCCTCCTTTTTTGGACGAGTAAGGTCTCTGTGGCCCTGGTTAATACTAGTATGTGCCAGTGATACAGTGAGTTATGCTTCAGAAATACCTAGATGAATGCCTGACATTTCAACAGTGGATGCAATCAGGGAACGATTGCTACTGAAAGCTAGAAAACCTCCTTCCATCTATTTTTTCAATTCAAGTATTCACCACATCTTTAACTAGCAGAAATACTCAATGCAGAAAATTAAATGAGTCCATTGTCTGAGCATCCACTCATATTGCCTGTAAGTTGCTCCTCTTCATTTCAGCATCCCTGATTGAATTTGTGTTTTAATTATTTTTTTTTATAGCAGGCTTTCAATTCATGATCCTACGTAAGCCTGACTCCATTGAGTCTGCATTGCCCTATATTGCTAGCAGATCAAGAATCAATCATAATGCTGTCAGTCACATAGTTGTGCCGTGTGCTTGTCCTGACATTAACTAATGCAGAGAAATGTGATGATATGGTACATCTCAAAATACCTGTGCACCTGATGCTCGTAAACAAAAATAATTAAATATGGAAAATATTGGTCAGAAGGAGAGGGTGCATACAAGTCATCTGTCTCTTTTCCTTACTCCTGAAATCTTTTCTGTTCCCAAATCTGTTTAGAGGAGAACACTGTTCTGCTTCCACCTGAGCCCTGAAGAAGTCTTTATATCAGATTATTCTCTAATGCCACAAACATGCCTGACTTGACTCATTCATTTATTTTCCAATAATACAGCAGCTTGAAGTGCTTTAAAACTTGAGCTGAAGACATGACAAAAATCCCAGAGAAAATGAAAAGTAGTGGTTTGATGAGAGATATACCTGTCTGAAAAAAAAAGAAAGATAGCAAGTCAGCATCAGTCAAGATGGTTTTGTGTAGACACAAGACATTCAGATATCTGTAATATGTTTGACTTGGTCCCACATGGCATTCCTGGAAAATTAGCACTATAAATTCCCAGATTAAAAGAAAAGAGGATGTTTAATGTCCCATACTGAGATGCCTAATAGGCAGAAAAAGCAACAAAAACGATGATAATGTAGTACTCTGCCTAACATAAATTGTCAAATGACACAATAAGGCAGAATTTAGAGAACCAATTTCTCTGCCTTAAAACACAAGTTTTAAGTAGAGCAGAAAACCATCTACTCTTAACTTAGATTAGCTGTCTACCTAAGACATTTAAGTTGACTTAACTGCAGATGGGAAGTAAGAGAGCCTTAAACCCCAGCATGAACATTTTAGGATTAAGCCTTTCAGAATTAAATGTGAAGGAAGCTAGGGATATTTTATCTGTAAAAGAGCATCCACACAGGGATTTGACTAATGCAATTTAATGTCACACCTTTACTTAATTCATCTTAATCTTTCCCAAGTGTCCCGCTGCAGCTGAGTTGTTTAGTCTGAAGTATTATTGTGGATCTGATTCGAAAGATAGCATTAGTTAAACCATTAGCTAAAGTTTTGTCTGTATGGGGAGGTTATTCAGTGCAGAGTAACCAGTTACTTCATATCTACTTTGTGTCAATACTCTCAGTTTATTTAAGGTGTTGTAGGCTGCATCACACCACCTAACGCACACTGAGAGTTTGTGCAAAGCAACTACTGTATGTTAAATTCGGATTCACACCTCTTCATGAGTCTAACATTTACCCAATCAAAAATGAGACTCAAAGATTTGAAGAGCGGGTAGGATACTGGACTGTGATGCAGTGATAATGATGGGAGATTGATACTTATTAACCACAACTTCAAAGTTAAAAGAGGAAAACTAAAAAAGAAAAATAAAAATCTAAGCCTTTTGGAGATTACATGGATACTGCTGAAAACAATGAAGCCCAAGAGGTTGTACATTCCCAGAGTGACAAGGATCAAGCCATTATGTTAAATGGGACATTTTGATACATTATTTAAGCCAATAGGAAAGCCAACAAAGTATAGAAATCTGAATCTGTGAAAGCTAGTAGAAAGGAAAATCTCAAATTTCAGTTGACAATAAAGAAAGCGAAAATGAGAATGGCACAAATGGACCTTGAAGACCAAACAGGGAGAGATTCTTGAAGTGAAGAAGTAAAAAAGCCTTAAAAGGCTGGAATTGGCAGCCTATAAGTTAATTGCTCAACACAGCAAAAAAGGAAGGGTTTAGTGTTTTGCAGTCTTATAATAAAAAACATCATAGAGTTCCCCTCCCTTTACTGGTCTCTGGTAGTACTCTCCAAAATTGCATCAAGATAATAAGGAAATTTTGAAACAAGACAGACTATTAACCATTCTCCAAATCACATAGAGCGTACCCATGACTGTCAAAAGCTGAAACAACTTGTCTGCCGGCAAAACTGTGCAGCCACACATCTTCACTCGCAAATTGGTCAGAATGGTCTTTCAAAACATTTGATAGATCATGTTATGGCAATTAAGGTTTTGTAAATGAAAATCAGATCTCACTAATCTCTTAGAATTATTGATTGTATCAGTAAGGTAGTGAATAAGGAAAAACATACGTTTACTTTGTCTTCTAAAGTATATTTGACAATTTATGGTGTCAGAATTTGTCCAGGAGACAAAAAGCAGAGAGGATGGTTAGAGTTGGTCACTTTTCATCAGGGCAGCAGGTTAACAGCAAAGGTCTCAGCCTTCCATCTTAAATTCATTTCATGTTGTTTGTTACAGTACAAATTGGGAAAAGATGGATGCTGAACTGGGATATAAATATAAAACATAAATATGAATTTATTAAGTTAACCAGGCCCCAGGTTAATTAAAGGGGGACTAAAGGAATCTTCACACAGCTTCAAAAAAGCCTGATGAATGGAAACCGTAATGGTCAAGGAAGTTCATTCTATCTGCAAGAAGTTACACATTTAAGAGAAAGGCAAACTGCTAAGATACCTTACAAATGAAAACTGATAAGGTACAGTTTTGGGTGGGGGGTTCTTGGCAGGGAAAGGCAGGAGGGTAAAGATGTAAATAAGTAATTTTCTCATGTACCTTTCTCATAAAATGAGAAGTGAACTAGATGAAATTTCTCTAAGGCCAATGCAAGCTAATTATTAAACCCTTTTTGAAAGTAGTTATGACTGATTTTTCTTTCAAAATACAAGGATGCATTGAATGGAATTGCTCAGGGCTTGTACCAGACTATTCTGTGGTTCAACCAGAGGATAAAGACTGCTAAATTTTCAGACTGCACCAAACTGGAGATGGCTGCAAGAGTGGCTGGGATCCATGTTCAGGTTCAGCCTCTCTTGATAGTCTAGGAATAAGCTGGAGAAGATGGAGCTCAGCTCAGTAAGGACAGAGGAAAGGACCTGCACTGAATCTATGGCTGAGCTACAAGGACAGGAATATTTCAGAAGATAGTTTGGTAGGGCAGTACGGTTGTTCACAAGCTGGACATGAACTGATGTGCACATCATGCTGTTATATATGAACTGGCTTGTACCTCGTAAGACACAAAGGAATCATTTCCATACAGTCTACACAGTGTTAAGGTTTCAGCTAGAAGTATTGTGTCTGGTTTGGGACATGAAACTCAGGAAAGACATGGCCCAGTCAGAAAGGACAGTAAGAATGATAAGAGATCTAGAAAACATGACTAAAAAGGCCTAAACGAACTGCACTTGTTCCCAAGGAGAATGCTAACGAGGAAACATGATCAGAGTCTTCAAATATGTAAGAGGCCATTGCACAGACAAGTGGAAAAAGCTGTTTTCCCTGCCCATGGGAGGTATACAAGAAGTAAATTGCAGCAAAGAAGATTTAGGTTAGGTACTTTCCTGTCTTTCTAATAGCAAAGGTCACAAAACACTGGGATGGCCTACAGGGCTGTGGAGTCACCAGAGGTCTTTAGGAGCAGATTGGACAAATATACCAGGAATGCTCTAGGAAGTAACCTAAATCATTGCCTTTGCCCCCAGGTGCCACCCAGCCTTGTTTTCTGTTGTGCAACAGAAAGCTCAACAACTCCATCCTCTCTGTGTGCAGATCAAATAAGCAAGCAGGTAAAATAGGATAAAGAACAATAAAAAGATAAAATATCTTGTCATAGATCTGTGGTACCACCTCAAGCAGACTGCTTTGGTGCAGCCATCTCCAGTCATCTCAGAGAGGCTGGGAACTTCAGAGGATTCAAAGACGAGCAACAGGAAGGATCAAGGG